AGGAGTCTGGTGGGCTATAGTCCATGAGGTCATAAAGAGTCAGACAGTACTAAGTGACTGACCACACACACACACACGCACACACACATCATCTAAGTCTCTTTCATATTTTTCCTTTTTTAAAAAAATCTCTCTGCCTGTTAGCAATAATGCTTTCATAAACCTTCTATTTCACTATTTGTCTTTTTAACTACACCTGTGTTAGGGCTGGGTTCGATCCCTGAGTTGGGAAGATCCCCTGGAGGAGGGCATGCAACCCACTCCAGTATTCTTGCCTGGAGAATCCCCATGGACAGAGGAACCTGGTGGGTCCATGGGGTCACAAAGAGTCGGACATGACAGAGCGACTAAGAACAGCGCAGCACATGTTAGGGCTTATCCAGTTTATTAATTGTTTATCTCAATAGGTATCTAAAATGTTTTCTATTGTGATAAAAGTCACACAACGTAAAACATACTATTTTAGCTATATTTAACTGTACAGTTCAGTGTCACTGAGTAGGTTCACACTGGTTTGCAACCCTCACCATCATTCATCCCCCAACTTTTTAACCTTCTTAAACTGAAACTTTGCTCCCATCAAACACTAACCCCATCCCACTCCCCACCCTCTGGCCCCTGGCATCTACCAATGTACCTTCTTTTTGTTTTATATTTTTAGGATGCTTAAAGATTATGCTTTCTAATACTTCAAATATTTAAAAACCTCGTAATAGTACTTCGCGCATGTGGAATTTCCTAAATTTGATACTATTTTGGTTTATTTATGACTACTTACAAGAAGACTCAGTAATAATGTCCATTCATTGGAGTCTTTTTCTTTGTTTGAACCTGTTGGAACCGGATTGATGAACTACTTTAGGCAAATGAGATGGTCAAATTCATGGCAATATGAATTATAAGGGTTCTCATTTAATGGCAATGAAACTTCAAAGGAATTTCCATATTTTATCCCCATTGTGTTTTTGGAAGCTAGTATCCTATTCAGAGGTTAAAGAGTGTGAATAGCTCATACAATCCTGTAAAAATTTTAACTGGCTGCCCTTTGATAAATAAAGTCATTGTAAAGAATGACTTTACAATGTAAAAAATTTCCCTTACAGAGTGAAAAATGAATACATGGCATTTCAAATTCAATTTTGGAAGTACTAATAAGTACTGACCCATAACAATATATACTAGCTACCTTGTAAACTGTCCTTCATTAGCAACAACAAAGAATCAACAAAATTACCTTTATTCTCACATCTCAAAACAATTCTGCAAATTCTTAGTGAAGTTTAAGTATAGTCACTACCAACGTATTTTCTGGCTCTTATGAATTTGACTATTCTCGGTACCTTGTATAAATGGAATCAAATGGTATTTGTCTGTACCCAATGTGTACTGGAATGCATTCTTAAGGTTAACTTAAGTTTTAATTTCCAGGATCTCCAATCAGACTGTTTTTAAATCTAATTCTTCTTGATTCACAGCTGCTTGTTTCATGTTGACATTGTTGTCATTTAGTCGCTAAGTCGTGTCTGACTCTTTGTGACCCCATGGACTGTAGCCCGCCAGGTTCCTTCTGTCCATGGGATTTTCCAGGCAACAATACTGGAGTGGGTTGCCATTTCCTCTTCAGGGCGTCTTCCTGACCCAGGGATCGAACTGACATCTCCTGCATTTGACAGGCGGGTTCTTTACTGCTGAGCCGCCAAGGAAGCCCACTTGCTTCATGGAATCCCATTTTGCATGTGTGTGTTTCTAGTGTTATTCTTTCCTCTGTTGCTTTGAAGAGCACACACAGCATGTTAAAGTTCTCCAATAATCAATCTGTTACTTAGATTTCCTCAGGAGAATTCTTCCATTTTTTGCACTTGTGGGAAATGTTTTCTAGGCATTTTTTTTTTGTCTGAAACATCATCTTACAGCTCTTGTTGTTTTGCTTGTTAGCTCTCTACTTCCTTCTCTCATCCTGGTATGGCTGACAGACTCAGGGTTAACTCACCTGTAACTCCACCCCATCCAAGGTCAGGCAAACAACCCTCAAAAGCAGTCCAGCTTTTTGTGCGTGAGCGGAAAGGCATGCACTGCTCTTCATTTCCTAGAGTGAGCTGGCTCCAGGCTTCATGCACATGCTGGGTGTCTTTGGTGTCCTTTCCCAGTTAGGATGTGTAATCCTGGTGGCACTGCCCGAGTCTGGGCCTGGAAACCAATAGGCTGGCAATTTTTGCCTCTTCTCTGAGTATCCTCAATCACTTTTAAGCCCATAATATGAAAAAAAACCTGTGCAAATAAAATATTTTGTATATATGCTTTGAGCTTCTCTGGTGGTGGCTCAGATGTAAAGAATCCGCCTGCAATGCAGGAGACCCAGGTTCGATTGATAGGTGGGGAAGATCCCCTGGAGAAAGGAATGGTAACCCACTCCAGTATTCTTGCCTGAGAAATCCCATGGTCAGAGGACCCTCTCGGGCTATAGTCCATGGGGTTGCAAAGAGCTGGACATGACAGAAATTAACATACACACATGTATGATGACATATACATATGATGACATACATGTATGATATACACGTATGATGTTTTGGTGGCAAGAAACAGAAAACCCAACTCAAAGTGGTTTTAAAACAAAGAATTATTGTGTCCTGCACTTGCATAGGTCAGGAAGCAACAGTTAGAACTGGACATAGAGCAACAGACTGGTTCCAAATAGAAAAAGGAGTATGTCAAGGCTTTATATTNGGGGATGACAGAGGATGAGATGGTTGGATGGCATCACTGACTCAATGGACATGAGTTTGAGCAAACTCTAGGAGATGGTGAAGGACAGGGAAGAGTGCTGCAGTTTATAGGGTTGCAAAGAGTCGGACATAACTTAGCAACTGAAGAACAATAACAAGCCTAAAAAAAATGAAAGCTTACCCACTTTCCCTGGGGAAATCGTAGCCCAGAGGATAGAACTGCTAAAAAGAAAACAAAGAATGGCAGGTGTGTGTGCGCGTGCATGTGTGATATCATGCTTGAGAAAATGTACACATGTAAAATTAAGTGCATGGGTGTGTACATACATGTGGGTGTACAGGTGTGAGGGCATGAGCATGCACCTGCATATGCATGTGGGCATGTGGGCATGTGTGTGAACAGGTGTGCGTGTGTGTCTTCATATACAACTGCACTCTCCACCATGCATAGATATCTGGGGCTCCCAGAAAGCAAAAGTAGAATGTAAAGATCAGCTCACTCACCATCTCTTTCGATCCCACTCTGGACTTAGAGCAAAAGACCCAGAGGTCTACCAACATCTACACATTTTTATTCTGCAGCAGGAAAAAAAAACTTGGTGACAACAACAACAAAAATGGAGAGAGGTAAATATTCAGTTTGCCCCGGAAAGGTCAAAGAACCACCTATTTACACCTGAGAAATGGAACCCTTCCTGCCATATCAGTAAACAAGGATGCCACAGTCATCAGCAATCACAGTCCTCCAATACGAGCCAGGGAGCCCTAAAGAAGCTCAGAAATTCAAATACCCGCTGTCTTTGCTCAGTTGTGAGTCGATGTTGTTCAGTGTTGAGTCCATGATGCCATCCAACCGTCTCATTCTCTGTCACTCCCTTCTCTTCCTACCCTCAGTCTTTCCCAGCATCAAGGTCTTTTCCATCTAGTAGCCATCAGACTACAGCCACTGCCTGCAGTGAGCCCCAAGGGAGCTCAGGATGTGAAAATACAGGATACTGGCTTCAGGTAGGTGAAGCGCATATAAAAGGAACGATTTCAATGACCCCAGACTCTTGCATCTTCCCGTATATTGAAAAGTGCTAAATTCCTTAACTTGAGATAGCTGGTTTTCTTTAATTAACAATAATCTTTTGATGTTCAGACTACCTGTCCTTTGTTGCAAAATTTCGATATAACCTGGCTTCTCCCCTTGCCTCCTCAGATCAGTTATCTCAGGGTTACTTGAGGTGCTGTCTCCTGGACTTGGAGTCCTAAAATTTCCCACTGAATAAAACATAACTCTCAACTTTTAGGTTGTGCATAATTTTTCAGTCGATACGTCTCCCTTAAAAAAAGAGAGTCAACTCCCATGTTACTTGATATTATGCATCAGCAACCCAATGGTCATGAGTTTGAGCAAACTCTGGGAGATGGTGAAGGACAGGGAAGCCTGGCATGCTGCAGTCCACCGGGTCGCAAAGAGGTGGACCCGATGGAGCAATTGAACAACAACAACAAATAAAATTTCAAACAATCCAATAGCTTCAGTGCACTGAACTTGAGAGAATTTTGCAGGTATTTTCATCTGTGCAGACTCATAGTCACCACGCTGTCACGGCCCCTTCGAGCTCCCTGGGCCCTCCATCCACCCCTGCTCATCAAGAAGGGTTCAGGTAACACATGAACCTCAGGGCACAGGTTTTAATTATTAGAAAATTCCAGACCAAAAATCCTATGGATGCATTACTCTTTAAATAACCAAACAACCCCAAACAAGTTCAGTTGATACTGAAAACTCTACCAAAACAGTAATTTTTTTTTTCTTCTATAACTGAGATTTTATTGGTTGTTTTGAGGATCACTACACAGACATTTCAATTTGTACACAATTCTTCACATACATACCAGAAATCTAAAATATCATGTAGTTGTGATTCTTAACAGTTATTCCAGTGACTTTCCAGCTTAAAATTTGGAGCAAACTTTCCTTATCAGGATATCAAGTACCAGTATCTTCAAATATTGATATGTTGTTACATCATAAGTCCCACTGATTCACAATTTAATATCATATACACTACATACCCAAACTGTCAATCTTTCACACCACATTAACCAAGTTACTAGGAAAACGACTACCACGACCAAAGATGTTATAGTATAGTGCACAAAATTCTGACCAGGAGAGCCAAGATCAAAAAGTGGTTTGCTGTAGGAAATAATTCTACCAAAACAATATGGGAAGAGAAGTAATTTAAAGTGTTCAGGACATTAAATGCACAACTGACTCCAAACTGCCATTTAGTATGCTTTTGTATTATAGGATATAAAAGCTACCCCCCATCTATGGAATGTTAAGCTGACACCCAAGACAATCAAAGCCTCCCATATCCAATATCCCACTATTTTCTGGTTGTACCAAAAAATAAACAACCAGCAAATGATTTCACCTCTTAAAAAAAAGCATTTACACTTAAAAAATGGGATGAGGTGGGATTCCCTCCTTTTTAAAAATGTTTCTAGAGCTACTAAAAAACTTGCATTTACAAAATAGTTGATAAAAATATTCCTCTGGATTGTACAAGAAGGGAAACAGGGACCACTGACAGGACTGAGCGTGTGGTTATTAATCAGACTTGGCTTCTTTCTCTTCTGCTTCATCAGAGGCTGGGCTCTCCTCGTTTTTAGTCTCTCCATTTTCTGCAGGCAAGTCTTCTTTAGTCTCTTGGTTGGCCACTTCCGCCTGTTTTCCCTTTGCTCCTCTTTTCCCTTTTGTTTGCACTTTTTAATCTGAAGATTTATCCTTTCCCGCCGCCTTTTTTGGCTTCGTTTCCACTTTTGCAGGAGCCGGTTTAGCTGACAACCTCGCCGATCTCCTCTTGGGCTCCTCCTTCGCAGCCCCCTCGGCGGAGCGGACCCTCCTCTGGGGCATCGTGGCGGCGGGGCGGGCGAGAGCCTTCGCGAAGCTTAGTAGCCTGACCGCTGCCTCTCCTCCCGCCGCCCGAGCTGCTGGGACCCGCGGCGGGGGTCCGAAACAGTCATTTATAAGCAGACAGCAGCAACCGAAAGCCACAGCCAACTCAAAACACCTCTAAAGATGCCAAGAAAGAAAAATTTTCAGATATCACTGCACAGATCCCTAAATAAAGTGCTTTTCCTAAAAAACTCATCCCCCAATAGGTTGCTTCGGTTTAAGTTCTCATACTGTTTCTCTTCTTATTAATACAATGTACTCATACTTGCTTTTTAAATTAATGTTTTTATTGTGAAATATAAAACCGTGGTTTTTTTTTTTTCCGTTTTTTTTTTTCCAGTTTCTGTTTTGTTTTGGTTTGCTTTTACAAAAAGCAAGCTTCTTTCTCCTGAAAGTACAATAGCCTGAAATGACCTCGCTCAGGGCTTGGTTGCTCTGCTTCGAGTTAACCACCTGGTTGAATCACTCACAACAGATAAAGAAGAAAAGGCATTTAACAGGGATTGAATTATTCCGGAAGGAATGATCTCACACACAGAGACTGATCGAGGGTGTTAAAACAAGCCTTTTAAAAACCACATTAAAAGCAATAGGGTATCTATGTTATGTAAATTTGCTTACAAAAGGAATGAAAAAGAAGCAATGTTCTGATGTAAACAGATAGTTACAGTTTGGGATAAAGTTTCTAGTGACAGCATCCTGTTTGAGTTGACTGGCTGGATGGAGCTGAAGGAATTGAGACAAAACTGAAAACTATACAATGTGCCCCGAAAAACTATGAGCTCAAAAGTCACAAGGAAACTGCATGACAAACAGGCAGGTAATGAATTTGAATGAAATGCTTCTTTGAACAGGAGCATGGAAAATCATTTGAAATTGATATAGATAATACCGGATATTTTAATATATGTAAGGAAATCAATAAATTTTGTATTTCAGGGAAAGATTTGACTATTTAATCTTAGTTATTCATCTTTCACAGATTTTTCCTCTGAAAACATCTTTAATGGTCAGGGTCACCATCTTCAAGGACAAAAGGCGGCTTCCTGAATTTAGGTGAAGAAGGAGATCCAACCAGTCCACCCTAAAGGAAATCTGTCCTGAATATTCATTGGAAGGAAGCTCCAATACTTTGGCCACCTGATGCGAAGAACTGACTCATTTGAAAAGACCCTGGGAAAGATTGAGGGCAGGAGGAGAAGGGGACAACAGAGGATGAGATGGTTGGATGGCATCACTGACACAATGGACTTGAGTTTGAATAAACTCTGGAAGTTGGCAATGGACAAGGAGGCCTGGTGTGCTGCAGTCCATGGGGTCACAGAGAGTTGGACACGACTGAGTGACTATGTGAACTGAGGGGACACTCCGGGGTGTAACATCAACACTACTTTTGCAATTTTAGTAAATTAGCAGCATGCTAATTTTATCCAGATGAGCTTCTCCAGTGACTCAGCAGTAAAGAACTCACCTGCCAAGTAGATCCCCTGGAGGAGGAAATGGCAACCCTCCCGTATTCTTGCCTGGAGNAACCCTCCCATATTCTTGCCTGGAGAATCCCATAATCCCATGGACAGAGGAGCCTGGCGGGCTACAGTCCATGGGGTCACAAAGAGCTGGACATGACTTAGCAGCTGGGCAGCAACAAAAACACAGATAAAGAAAACAAACTGCGCTGTGCTGTGCTAAGTCACTCAGTCATGTCCGACTCTGCAACTCTACGGTCTGTAGCTGGCCAGGCTCCTCTGTCCATGGGGATTCTCCAGGCAAGATTATCGGAATGGGTTGCCATGTCTTCCTCCAGGGGATCTTCCCAACCCAAGGGTCAAACGTAGGTCTCCTGCATTGCAAGTGGATTCTTCACCATCTGAGCCATCAGGAAAGCCCAGAAAACTAGTGGTTACCAAAAGAGAGATGGAAGGGTGGTGGGGCAAATTAGGTGTATGGGGTTAAAAGATACAAACTACTGTGTGTAAAATAGATAAGCAATGCATTTATATTGTATAGGACAAGGAATTATAGGCATTATTGTATAATAACGTTTAATGGAGTATAACCCTTAAAACTAGTGAACCACTGTGCTGTACCCCTGAAACTAGTATAATATTATAAATCTACTATATTGCAATTAAAAAATAAAAAATTTCAAAATTAGGAATAAATAAAAAATAAGCAGGTGAATTTTCTGCAGGTAATTGATAAAGACTGTATTTTCTGGATGGTACAAACCATCAGGCATTTAATAAAGTGAACTTCTATGAAGAAAAAAATTGTTTTAAGTTCATTTCATAGGCTATGAGTCAACAGCCTATTATTTTACACAAACACAAAAGTCAACATAATTAGATTTCTTTTTCTGATAAGAACCCAAAAGAGGCCAATTCTCTCTGCCCACTTCAGCCTCCAAAGAAGGACAAAGTGAGATAAGGGGACAGAAGGGCTCACAGGTAGGGAGCAGAGAGAGGCCAGAGGAGGGGACAGAAACCACCGCAGGATGATCAAGGGCCTGCATCTGAGTGGTGGAGACAGGAGAGGTGGGGCTTCAGGGCTGGGGTCCCTTTAATAACGGAAAAATCACACTGCGTTTTTCTCACACACTTTGCTTTTGGTACAGCAGATCCCTTTAGGTAGAGGCACTCCACTGGGCTCCCCTGGGAACCTCCTGGCAGAAGAAAATCCTCCGGAGCCCCAGGCCCTGCCCCCAGTGGTTCGGACCTGAGTGGCCCAAGTGTGGCCTGAGCACCCCTGGTTTCCCTGGGGCCTCTGATGAGTGCAAGGTGTGGCCGGAGCTGAGCACTGCCTGGGGTAGGATGTTGCTTCCTTTCGGGATGCAGAGGGAAGGTGGACGCTAGGCCAGTCTGTCCAGAAGAATTGCCAGCAGCTCGCAGGCCAGAGGGCTGACTCCCAGACTGACAGACCCCTCCCACTGACAGCCCCACACCCTCTCCTAAACTGGGGGGCTCCCCTCTTGACAGTGGGAAACCCACACCTCCCCACCCCCACCCCACTACTGGAGGCCTTTGAAAGTCGCCTTTAAGACTCAAATCCCATCCACTCCTGGAAATGGTCTTCAAATTTTTACTTCTCTAACTTCTAAAATATTTTTGAGAGATCAGGTGCCCCTTGCACTGCCTAAGCTGCCATCAAAACAACTGTCATACATCTAACGAGTGAAGCATGGAATCCACCATATTTTTAATAACAACATTTTAAGTATATATATTTTTAATCACCTAAAACTTAACATTCAGAAAACTAAGATCATGACATCCAGTCCCATCACTCCATGGCAAATAAAATGGGAAACAATGGAAAGAGTGAGAGATAATTTTTGGAGGCTTCAAAATCACTGCAGCCA